TATATATATATATATATATATATGCGGGCGGGCGGGCGGTAGGTATAGGCATAGATGATGATGATGATGGTGATGATGGACAGACAGACAGACATACAAATGGTAGGTATAGACATTGATGATGATGATGATGATGATGATGATGATGATGATGATGATGATGATGATGATGATGATGATGATGATGATGATGGACAGACAGACAGATATACATGGTAGGTATAGGCATAGATATAGATGATGATGATGATGATGGACGGAGAGACAGACACACAGATGGTAGGTATAGGCATAGATATAAATGATGATGATGATGATGATGATGATGATGATGATGATGATGATGATAATGATAATGATGATGATGGACAGACAGACACACACACACACAGATGGTAGGTATAGGCATAGATATAGATATAGATGATGATGATGATGGATAGATATAGATAGATAGATAGATAGAACTTGATTTACAACAGTACGTTTAGTGACCGTTCAAACTTACAATAGCACTGAAAAAAGTGACATTTCACAGTTACGACCATTGCAGCATTCCCCATAATCATGTGATCAAAATTCAGATTCTTGACAACTGGTTCATATTTATGTCTGTTGTTGTGTGTCAAGGTTCGGTGATCACCTTTTGTGGCCCTCTGACAAAAAAAAATTCAGTGGGGAAGCTAGATTCACTTAACAGCCTGTGACAAGGAAAGTCATAAAATGGGGCAAAATGCACTTAACTTCTCACTTAACAACAGAAATTTTGCGCTCCATTGTAGTCCGTTGAGCTATAAGATAAAGGTTCCCCCTCACATGTGTTCTAGTCATTTCTGGCTCTAGGGGGCGATGCTCATCTCCATTTCAAAGCCGAAGAGCCAATGCTGTCCAAAGATGTCTCTGTGGTCATGTGCTCGGCATGACTAAATGCCGAAGGCGCACAGAATGCTGTTACCTTCCTACCACAGGTGGTTCCTATTTTTTTACTTGCATTTTTTATGTGCTTTTAAATTGCTAGGTTGGCAGAAGCTGGGACACCNGAAAATACGGTACATAGATAAAGGGGTCTTTCTTGAAATGAATTTCTCCAAAGCTAAGGTTTTAGTTTTTCCAGAATGTGTCCTAAAGCTCAGCCTTAAAGGAATTGGTTAAATTGATTGGGTTAACTTCAAGTACCTAAGCATCTACTTCCTCTGCCTATTGGAAGAACCAAGTGAGTGGGTTCCTGTTAGAAAAAGTTTTTAATGCATATTTAAAACACGTGGCAATAATGATGTTCCTACAGCAATCATTGTTCAATACAATTTACCCCTCACTGAAATAGCTTTATCCCAAGTAATGGCCTCAATGAACGGGACATCCCAAACAAGGTAGCAAAAAACGTACTGCAGTTAAAATATCTGGAATGTGTTTAGGCAACCTCCATATGAACATCAGTATGGTAATTGCCAAAGTACGATATATCTTACAATGGATGACACCACCAGTGTTGAATGTATCAATTATGTTCTCCCCTTTGCCAGATTTGAAAACCATCTCTCCTTGGTCACACCGAATAATAAGGCGAGCATTCTTTTGCAAACATGATATTTCCTTGCGAAATGTATCTAGTGCTTTGTTGATTCTGTCATGGACACTCTGAGGTACTCCCAACAGATTTCGGACTTTTGTCCTCATTCCCTCCAGTTTTTCCACAGTGAGCTCATGTGTTTTACAAGGGTAAAAATTCTGCTTTAGAAACATGTCCCAAGTTTGTGATTCGAAGTTGAAATCTACTTTTCCGTCTTTACACTGTGCGATGATCTTCCAATCTTCGGAGTTTACAGATAGGCCTTGCTCATAGCAGGTGAAATCAATTTGGAGATTCTTATTGATGCCAGGATATTCAGGCAACTTATCCACAAGGATATTAAAACATGATTTGAGGCTGTCGGTTAGCAAATCCAATTGGGCTAATTCACTTTTAATTCCCCTCAAGTTGCCAACGTCCAGTGTTTGAAGAGAACACGAGAAATTCTCTAGTTTGTTGCCTAAACTTGTATGTAGTTCACGGTACTGAGGTTGCCCATTGGAATGAGTAACGTCCAGTTTGTAATCTCCTTCCCCTGAGATGAATACATATTCCACATTTTCTCCATCCATGTCAAAGCTGAATTTTATCTGGGCATTATTTTGTATTTGACTCGGTTTCTGGGGGAACCTCTGGAGTACCAACTCGAAGCAACTCTTCTCAACCTGAGTCAATGGGCCAAATGTCTCCAAGTCTCTTTTCACCTTTTCTAAATGTCCAGTGCTAAGGGGTTGCAGCCGAGAGCGTAATCTGGCCAGATATCCAGATTTTGATGGGGCTTTGACATGGTACTTGTAGTCTCCAGCAGAAACATTGATTTTCCATTCTTTTTTTCCTGAAGCAAAAGAGAGCACTTTCCCATCATCTCCCTTGAGAACCATCTGAGCATTTTTCATTACCCACGAAGGCTCATTTGGAAAGTTCTTCATTACTTCTTTGAAACATTTCCCCATCCCCTCATCCATTCCTAAATTCTTCCATTTGTTCTTCACCTCGTTTAAGCTGTCAATATCCAGGCGATGTGTCTTTGACAGTAATTTTTGCTTCTTGAAAAAAGATAAAATAATGGCCATGTTCTTCGCACTCTGAAATAGCTCCAAATTATTTGAATGCACTACATTCAAAAAAATACTCTTTTTCTCAGGCTTGATTGTTTGGGGGCTCTTTTATGAATCCATATCAAAATATTTATAGTCTCTTTTGTCTGAGATTTCAGGCCTTAGATTTCAAAGGATAATCCTTCATACTGATTGTAGATTAATGCTCACAGTTCAGGATGAACATTTAGCATGCTGTTTACCTGGAATTGTTTTTTTAAAGGAACAAAACAATATTTTATTGATTTTTTTAAAAAAAAATACATGTTTATTTAGCTGCTTATTGGTTGAATGAAAGGTGATGATAGATGTATGTATGTATGTATGTATGTATGTATGTATGTATGTATGTATGTACAGACAGACAGACAGACAGACAGACAGACAGGCATGGTAGGTATAGGCATAGATATAGATGATAGATAGATAGATAGATAGATAGATGATAGATAGATAGATAGATAGATAGATAGATAGATAGATAG